AGTAGTAGTAATAGTAGTAGTAGTAGTAGTAGTCGTAGTCGCACTCGCAATCTTAATCGTAGTTGTTGTAGCAATGGCAGCAGTAGTAGTAGTAGTAGTAGTAGTAGTAGTAGCAGTAGTAGTCGTAAAAGTAATAGTAGTAGTAATAGTAGTAGTAGTAGTAATAGTAGTAGTAGTAGTAGTCGTAGTAGTAGTAGTAGTAGTAGTAGTGGTAGTAAAACAATAATGCATAACGGTCTGGATCGGGCCGTGTTGGTTGTTACGGATGTCATGTGTTGACGTTCGGAATGTTCCCTTTTGTGTAAGACGTGGATTGGTTCACAGAAGAGAGAGAGAGAGAGAGAGAGAGAGAGAGAGCGAGAGAGAAAAAAAAGAGCGAGAGAGGGAGAACGAAAGAAACAAACAAGTGAGAAGCATACAAAACAGAAACACCGAGAGAGCTGGAGAGCTTCTTTCCGCCTCGTTCCACCTAGTCGAACTGCCTCCTTCCCATCCTCGTTGATCCTCCCTGTTCTTTCCGAATCTTCCCTGCAGTAGCAAAAACTATTTCCATGATGCTCTGCTCTTCCCCTGTCAAGACAATCATGTCGTCCTGCTCGCGAAGGAGGAGTGGCGGATGTCGTATGTTCTTTCACAGGAAGAGATCGGAAGAAAAACAAATAACCGAATTATAGAGAGAAGGAGGACAAAGTGTGTTTCCTCCTTCTTCCACCTCCTCGAACGGCCTCCTCCTCATCCTGGTTGATTCTCCTTGTCTCTTCCTCACATTCGTTGCAATCGGAAACATTACTAAACCCTCTCTCTCTCACTTCCTCCTTTTCTGAGACAGAAAGAAAGAGAGAGAGAGAGAGAGAGACAACAGCAAACAAAAGGAGAGGCAGGGGTGAAGGAAAACGGTGACCTTGCCTTCGCGCGAAGCCTTTTCTGGCTTCGCAATTCTTATTCGTTGTTGTTTGGTTCCGTTTTGTCTTTCGATGACAGTCACAGGTCTCCTTATATGTTGGACCACAAAACCAGTGACACTGCCCGAAAAAGCAACCTGTGAGACCACCAACAAAACCAACAACCAAGGGTTCTCGGGATCACGGGAGGGCGGCCAGAGCCGAGGCCTCCAGAGGAGGGAAGAGGGGGACTGTTTTCTCCAATGACACTCGCAAGTTTCCTCAATGTTGGGCCATGGAACGTGTGACACTACCAAACAAAAAAAACGGGTGACACTACCAAACAACATAGAATTCAGTGGTTTTCGGGATCCGGGCTGGTCGAAGGGGCAGGCCCTGTCACAGGCTTCGTGGCCCAACATGAAGAAAACCTGTGGCTCGCATTGAAAAAGCAGTCCCCCTCTACCCTCCTTTGGAGGCCTCGGCTGTAGCCGCCCACCCGCGATCCCGAAAACATGTGACTCTTGGTTTCGTCGGTAATATCTGACATCACAAGCTTCTGTGGCAGTTTTACTGTCTTTTGTTTCTGGTAGTGTCACAGGTTTCGTGGTCCAACAGTGAGGAAACCTGTGACTGTCATTGGAAAACCAACCAAATCAAACAAAAACTAATAAAACTTGGGACTCAAATAAACAACAAGAGGTTTCGCGCGAAGACAAGGTCACCGTCGACCGTCCTCCTCCACCCTGTCTCTCCCTCTTTGTTTTGGTTTCTCTCTCTCTCTGCCCTCAGAAACAGAGAGAGCGGGGGGTTATCAATGCATCCTACTGCAAGGAAGACGAAGAAGGGGGAGGAAAGGTCAACGAGGATGAGGAGGAGGCCGTTCGAGAAGGTGGTAGGAGGAGGACGGAAGCTGGCTATCTCTCTCTCTCTCTCTCTGTCTATCCCTCGTCCTTCTCAGAAGGCAACACAGACATGAAAGTCGGATGACACATAGTCAACAAGGAGGCGAATGACGAAAAAGCGTGCAAATTAAAACACACCTGCGACAAGCCACGGGGCCCAAACCGGACCGTTCCCTTGTGGTTGAAGTAGTAGTAGAAGTAGTGGTAGTAGTAATAGTAGTAGTAGTAGTAGTAGTAGTAGTAGTAGTAGTAGCAATCGTAGTCGTAGTCGTAGTCGCAGTCGTAGTAGTAGTAGTAGTAGTAGTAGTAGTAGTAGTAGAAGTAGTAGTAGTAGTAGTAGTAGTAGTAATAGAAATACTGAGAACAACACTAGTAGAAGTAGTCGTAGTAGTAGTAGTCGTAGTAGTAGTAGTAGTAGTAGCAGTAGTAGTAGTAGTAGCAGTAGTAGTGGTAGTAGTCGTAGTAGTGGTAGTAGTAGTAGTAGTAGTAGTAATAGTAGTAGTGATAGTAGTAGTAGTGGTAGTAGTAGTAGTACTAGTAGTAGTAGTAGTAGTAGTAGTAGTAGTAGTAGTAGTAGTAGTAGTAGTAGTGAGAGTGATGCGATTGAGAGTAGTAGTAGCAAACTATGAATAGTAATTATCGGAGCAATCGTCGTCGTAGTCGTAGTGCTAGTAAGAATGAAAGCAGCAGCAGCGGCAGTGCGAGTAGCATTAGAAGATGGAAAAAGGAAGGAGGGCGAAGGGATTTCAAACCAACAAGAACACAGCCCTTTCCCATTCCGTTAAATACACAAATGTTGCAGAAAAATGTGCAGTCCTCGCGTGAAGCATCATCAGTACGAAATGTTCTGCAGATGCTGACCACTGGGGGATGCACAAGTTCGCTCATGGGGGTGCGAGTCCAGGATGTGGTTGTAGTAAGGATAACAGTAGTAGTCGTAGTAGTAGTCGCAGTGGTAGTGGTAGCCGTTATAGTAACAGTCGTACTCGTCATCATAGCCCAACGGGCCAGGGCGTGCTAAGATCTCCGGTAACTGGTTAACAGTATTAACAGTATTTCTAGTTCGCGCGCGCGGGGCGGCCCCTGGGGGTCCCCCGGCGAAAAGTACCCCGACCACCGCCCGACCACCGCCCGACCACCGCCCGACCACCGCCCGACCACCGCCCGACCAAGTCTACTCAGAGATGGTTTTCCTTCTGGGTGCGGCCTCTCAGGCTCCCCAGAGCGCGCTCAGAGTGCCCCAAGAGGCCCCCAAGACTGCCCAAGAGGCCCCCGAGACGCCCAAAGAGCGCTCGAAGACGCCGAAGATGACCCCAAGACGGCCCAAAAGGCCCCCAAGACAGCCCAAGAGGCCTCCAAGACGCCCCAAGAGCCTTCCAAGAGGCCTCCGAAGAGAGCCCCAAGAGGCCAAAATCGTTGATTTTCATTGGTTTTTTCTATGTTTTTTGTGTTCTGGCTTTTTCGGCTTCCGGACGCTCCAAGACGGCCCAAGAGGCCCCCAAGACCGCTCCAAGACGGCCCACGAAGCTCCCAAGACGGCGCCGAAACGACCCAAGAGAGCCCTCAAGACGGCCCAAGTGCCGCCCAAGACGGACCAAGAGGCCCCAAGACGGGCCCAAGAGGGACTCAGGAGGGATACCGAGAACTCAAAAATGGAGCCCTCCGTCCCAGAAGGCGCCCAGGAGGTCCCAAAGAGGCCCCAAGAGGCCTCCAAGAGGCCCCAAGATGTCGCCAAGAGGCCCCAGGAGACTCCCAGGAGGCCCAAAAGAAGCCCCAGAAGGCTTCAAACATGTCTCCCAGGCGCCCCCGAACGGCCTCTCAACAGACCCCAAGAGGCCCCCCAAAGAAGCATCTTGACGACGACTCTATTTCGCCCCATCGAGAGACGACCCCCAGGGAACTGCTTCACCATCAAAACTCCCCACGCAACGCGTCCGAACGACACCCGCCCCCAAGAGCGCAACATGGGCAACGAACACACAGACAAAAACCAGCGATGCCATATCACGGGCCGGCGGAATGAGCGAAGCGATTCAATAAACATAAAGATTAGTTTGTAGTAATAGTAGTACAGGTAACGGTTGTAGTCGTACTCGTATCCGCCGTACCAGTAGGCCTAATAGTTGCAGCTATACGAGTAGCAGTCGTATGTATGAAAATAGCAGTAGAAGAGTAATCGTAGTAGAACAAGTAGTAGTAACAATAGCAGAAGGAAGCAGTAATAGCACTAGAAATACGAGTATAATTATTGGTAGTAGCAGTAGTAGTAGAAGTAGTGAGCGTAAACGTGCTAGTAACCAGTGCTAGTGGTAAGAATTATCATGATGGTAATGGTAGTGGTACGAATAGTAAGAGGAATAGGAATGCAATTGCGAATCGTCGTAGTATGACTAGTAGTTATAGTCGCCATCATAGTAGGAGTACGGAATCGTATTAGTTGTGCGAGCAGGATTGCTTACACAAACCTGCAGTAAGGATAACAGCCGTAGCAAGGTGAGCAATACTAGGATGCTTCTGTAGGAGAAGGAGGAGCAGGATGTACTGGCCGTTGCAGTAGCAGAAGCTGGAGACGCAGCAGAAGTAGTAGTCGCAATAATAACAGCAGCAGGGGCAGCAACATGAATAGTAAGAGCAATCGCTATAATAGAAAGATTCACTGATATTGGTAGACTCGATAGTAGGAATTGGATAGTGGTAGTAGTAGTAGTAGTAGTAGTAGTTTTAGTAGTATTGGTACTAGTATGAGTAATGGTGGTAGTAGTGGTAGTACGTGTTGCTGCCGTCGTGTTACTAGCCATAAGAGTAGTCGTAGTCGAAATTGTAGTTGAAGCAGCAGCAGAAGCAGCAGCAGTAGTGGTAGTAGGGGCAAAAGTAAGATGGATAACGTATGATACACTATCCAATACAATGATATTGTTACGCATGGTAAGAAGAATCTTGCTACGACTGGTACTGTCCCTGGTGATGGTGAAATTGAGACCCGCCGCTCCCTACCGCCGACCAAAACTGTCTTGGCGGAAGATAACCATGAGGTCGGTGAGAGAGGGGCGGTGAGCCTCATTGGCGGGGACATGCGATTAAGACCCCCCCCTGCCGATTTGGAAGCCTGCCCCCTCGTGCCACACCCCTGTGCGCGCCGCCGATCGGGGCCTTCGGAGGGCCCCCGAAGGCTTCCCCGACAAGGGCCGAAGAGGAGGAGTAGGAATGCCGGAGCCTGCGAGACCTCCTCGTCGGACATGTGCAGCGCGCTGAGGATGGCCGCGTAGGCCTTCGGGTGCTTCACTTTGACGTCGCCCTGCAGCTGCTTCAACGCCTGGGGCCAGTCAAGCCACGTGCCCTCGCCAGCGCCCGAGGAGGAGAAGAAGGTGGAGGTGGGCCCGAGCCTCCGACGTCGTTACTATTCCCACCCTGCCGTGTTCGAGTCGGCCTCGGGGGGCGGTCTGTGGGCACCTGGGCAAACAACAGAAGCTGTCCAAGGTGGCGAAGAAACGAAGTGAGACAGCCACGACGCCGCCAGAGGTCTGGGGACGGCCAAAGCAGATGACAGAACATCTCGAGGAACGAGAACTGTTGCATGTGCCGTCGTGGCTTGGCCGGGGAGGCATATACACCGATCCTGGGCACACAGGATGGGCCTGGCCAGCATCGGTGCATCTGTGGAAACACACACACACACACACAAACACACAAGCACACACAAGCACACACACACACACGCGCCCACACACAGAAACAAACACAAACACACAAACACACAAACACACACACACACACACACACACACACACACGCACGCACGCACGCACGCACGCACGCACACACACACACACCCACACACACATACAAACACAAACACACTGTCTGTGGAAAACACACACACACACACTGCGGAACAACACACACTGTCTGTGGACAAAAAACACCGACTGTGTGTTTTTCCACAGAGTGTGTGTGTGTGTGTGCGCGTTTTTCCACAGTGTGTTTTCCCACAGTGCCAAGTTTTTTGGAGTCAGGTCAAACCTGGGCTGTCGACAGGAGCTCTGGCCCATGTCAGGCACCCCTTGCAAGCTGCGGGGGGCCCGGCCGAGAGCCGGGTCGATGCATATCGGGTAACCCCCGCGCCACCAGCCTGGAGCCGAGTCCAGACCAGCAGCCAAACGACACCACCCCACCTACGACCCAGCGCTCAGCGGTGAAAGTTTAGGCACTTGCCCCATGCAGCCTCTGCGTGTTATCACGGAAACCGAGGTTTGGCTGTTGGTCGAGATCGGGATGAGTAGGAAGAGGCGTGCTACACTGGAGGTCCACGCCAGGCCAGGCCAGAACTGGGGCCCCAAAGGACACTTCGGCCTCGACGCCCGTCTCGAGAGATCGACGATCCGATAGATTTCCCGGTGGCCTCCATAAATCACGCAGACATACAACGCCTGGGAAAACGAACACGGGAAGAGTCCCCACTTCTGGCATCTGAATGCCCGCTTCGGGCCTTGGGGCTGTCGACAAGCTGCCCAGGATTAGAAACCAGTCCTGGGGAAAGGGTCGAGAAATATGGGGCCCATGCATCGGAAACATCGGAGCACTCGATATCTGCGAAAGGACACAACTCCACCAAATGCCTGTGATGCGCTGCCCCAGTGCAAGGCTAACCCAGGTCGGCCAAGGCCGTGTCGCGAACCCCCGCCGGCCGCTCAGCGGCTCCCAAACCCGGGTCTGGCAGATATTTGAGGGAGGGAGGGGGGGGTCGGTTCCAGATGGCTCCAAAAACCTGGGCCAGCCCGACGGGATCAGAGGGAGCTACAGTCAACCAGTATAGTAAGGATGCACGATAAGGACGCAAGGGCCCTGGGAAGGTTCCCCATCCCTACTGTGCGGGTTGCCTGTAGATGACCCCCATCGGCGCTGACACCCGTCAAGGGGCGCCGCGAAGTCTTCGGGTTGGGTTTGGGTGGTTTGGTGGGTGGTGACGGTCACCCTGAAGCCCCACTGACTCACCACACGGTGTGGTCGCCGCACTGGCTGGGAGCTCCCGACCCAGACATCCGACGATCGCGGCCCCAGAGGTCCCGACCACTTAATCTGGGGCGGCCAAGAGGGGGGCGTCCAAGAGGGGGCGCAAATCATGGCCGGCGGCATGTGCGCGGCCCAGTGGGGGGCCAGGGACGTAATGAAACATGAAGAGGCGCCACGACATCTGAGGACATATCATGGCACTCGCCATGATAGCCACCCCCCCTAGTCATCACCCCCCTCTTGGCCGCCCACGACCTTCACCAGGGCCAGTCCTTTGTCGGGGATCCATGGCGAACAGTCCAGGACCGTCAACAGCCCCCCCATGAGGCCGAAATCGGGAAGAAACGCTGGGATAGAACGATCCGTGCCGTCGGAGATCTGGGGATGGGTGTTAGACTGAGGGAAGCGGGTCCTGAGGGAAACGGGACCCGGACCCCGCGGCCTTCCCCCAGGACGAGCTCCTAATCCTGAGACGTGTTCTGACAGTCCCGGGGCCCGTGGAGGGCCCCGAGAGTGCGAAAACGGCGAAGAATCTCGGGGCCCGCTTCCCTGATATTGGCGGCGCGCACGAGGGGGTACGGGGGAGGGGGGACGGCTTCATGGAGGGCTTAATCCGTGCCTCGGGGTCGTCGGGCCCGACCGCCCTCCCCAAGACAAGAAGAATGATTCCGAGCACGCCAGTTCGGCCACCTAGCTGCGGCCGAATGTCGGCCAGCTCAAGGCATACACAGTCTTGGCACCAAGAGGGCGCTGGACACGATAACTTGCACCGCATCGGCGGCGCAGATCGCCGACGGGGGGCAAAATTTGTCCCCCGCATTTCGGCCGCCTTCCCGGGACATCCTTTATTTCTTGTCGAAACTGCTGACGAGACGTATGCGGTCCACGCCCTGCGACTGACGCCAACTGGGCCCTCGGGGCCCTGGCGGCGGTCGCTGGCGGAGGCGGGAAACACAGCGGCGCTTTGACCACAATGCGCCAAATTGTGCCGCCTACTCGTCGCAGCAGTCTTCATCATCGGAGATGGAGGCGTGGCCACGCATGCATGCGGCGCAGAGCCTGGCGTCTGCTGGCACGGGGGTTGCTGGCTCGTGCCCCGGGAGGCCGAAGACCCACCCGCAGAGCGGGTACCACGACGCGATGCTGGCCTCGGGGTAATACCGCGAGGCAGGCACGCGCACCTTCCGGAGGCGCGAGCCCCCACCGGGAACGAGCGGCGGATGAGCTCCCTGAGGTCGATGTCGCCCTGGATGAGGCGCTTCGTGCGATCGTCGAGCTCCGCCATCATGTTGGTGACTCCTGGGTCGCTGCTGTGGATCCTGTCCAATACACCCCTCAGGTCGGCGGAGGCCGCCGACTGCCGGAACTGACAAATGAGCACCTTGAGGGGTGACTCGGCGACGTACCGCGCGACGACGTCGCTGGCCCATCGCCCCAAAAGCTGGACGGTCAGCAACGGAATGCCCCTCTACGCGAGGAACTGGGCGCCAATGACTCGCAGACTACAGTGCGGGCGCGGCCGGAAGAAACCCTCGCAAGAAACCCAACCCTGAGAACCCGTGCGCGAGGTGCACCTGGGGGGAAACCCGGAGCACCCTGAACGCAGCAGCTCCTTCAACGGCTGCGGGAAGTCACCGCGCAGCGCGAGGCGCGAAGAAACCTAGGATACCCTGACGAAAAGCATATGGTTTCTTGATGCGCGCCCCCTCTGTATGGCCGCTGAAAGCCTCCTCGCCCGTGGAACTGTGCACTGGGAGCCCCATTCGCTCGGCTATGCCACGGGCCGTGGCCACCATCCGAGTCTCCTGGACGACCTCGCCGTCGACCGTGGGGAACAGCGGCGCGTCCTGTCGGTCACCAAAGCGTTCGCGAAGTGCTCTGTCAGGAACCAGCAAAGCATGATACGGACACAACCCCGGCTCGGCGATGCCACTGCGTCCGCAGATGCAGCCCCACGTGCGGTGCCGCCCCAAAACCCGCGGGTCCGTCTTAGCGCACGGGAGCGGCCACGTGATTTCGAGCCGCTCCGCGTCGAAAATCATGTGCTGTCTCATCGCAAGTGCAGCTTCCACCTCGGAGCATGAAGAAAAATCCTGCGGCGACAAGGAAGCCAGGGCCTATGGGCCCGCCCGGGACGAGTGGTTCGAAGCTCAGTTCGAGGCGCGGTGCGCTGGCAGGTCCAGGGCGCCAGCCTGCTTAGCAGGGCCGATACCGCGAGTTACGCCTCTGAACGCGCGCGAGCAAATCCGTCCACGGCCACCCCAAAGCGATGTGCTCGTCCTTAGCCCTGGCCATGCACTCCTCGCAGGCGCGGTGCAGGCCAGCCTTAAGCAGAGTAGCCAAACCATCAACCGATGCCGTCGTCAGAGGAAAAACGTCTGGGACCACGCCAGACGAGCCCTCCAAGGCAACGAAGTATGCATCATGAAGCTCGGACCACGTGTTCAAATACGACGAACGGGCGGCCTGCGCGCCGCGCGCGTGCTTGTCCCGCTCGTAGGCGGCGCAGGCGTTACGGAACCGATGCGGATCCGAGGCCGCTGCAATGGCAAATTCTTTATTTTGACCCCTGGCAGGTGGAGGCGACCGGAGGGGCGCCCTGCCGCGGAGCCAGTGCGTGGCGGCTGGCGGACGCTGCGGCACCTGCTGGCGCGGGCGGCCCAGGCGGCGGCGACCGCGACCTCGCCGATGCGGCCGCCACGTTCGATGGTGGAGCGGAGGCCGCCCGCCTTCGGTCCAGCGCAGCAGGTCCGCGCGAAGCCAGCACATGCTCTTGGCGCTGTACTCCGCGGCACGCCGCGGGGGGCGCTGTGCCCGAGGCCCGGGGGCCCTCGCGGGCCGCCCCGACAAGCGAAAGTGTGGGCACGCGACCTTGGAATCGGATGGGCATGGCTCGCTCGAGCGAGACCTCGGGCAAAAACGACTGCGGATACCCTGGGCGGAGACGAGCGCGCCACTCCAGCCTCGGACCGGCCGGCCCTGGGCGGAGATGGCAACGACGCTCGCACTCCCGCTTCGGGCCCCGGGGCCCTGGGCAGAGACGAGCGCCGGCCCTGGGGCACTGACTCCAGCTCCGGAGAGCGAAGACTCCCTGCGCGCAGGCGCCCAAGCGCGCGCGAACGGGGAGGGACAGGGGCGCGACTGCGCACGACGACAGCGGTGACTGCATTTCGTCAATCAGCGACTGATGGCACAGCCGCCCGCGCCGCCACGGCGCTGACCCCGCCCCGCCGCACGAGCCCGGTAGGCTCCGAACCGGGCGCTGGCCACGTACCCCGCTCGGCGGCAAATGTTTTCATCGGCGCGGGCAGGAAAATCTGGGCGGCGGATTCTCGCCTGCCCGGGTCGCCCAGTGCCAGGCGGCGGAGCAACGCCAGCTCGGATCACGGGGCCCTGGCGGCGGCGTGGGCCCAATCTGGCGCCCTTGCCGAAGACGGGAAGGACGGTGGCGGAGATGAAAATGGGGTCGAGGGAGGGAGGGGCGATTTCCCTGGCGCCCTTCGGCGCCGCCGGGACGGACCACGTAGCCGCTGGCGCGAAATACCGCGACAACGCGCCCGCCGCGGTGCCGGCAATCCCGGGGCGCGCGCGCGCAGACGTCGGGGAAGTAGGCGGCGTCGCCGAGGTCCAGCGCGCACTCGCGAGCTACGGCAGCAAGGGCTCGCCCTTTCCCGCGGACAGCTGCCAGCGGCGCGAGGGCTGCTGCAGAGTCGCCGCGGACCTCGAGCGCGACGCTGTCTGCTTTCCAGAAGCGCTGCCGTGCGCGCAGCGCCACGATCAGCGACCCCCAAACCTGCTGGCCCTTGGGCTAGCCGGCTAGCCCTCGCGGGCGCCCATGAACTCCGCGTGCCGGGGGTTGAGCGGGCAGGCGTAGAACTCGACCGCAACGCCGTCGAGGAGGAAGAGAGCGCCGAGGTCCCATGGGGGGGCGCCCCGAACTACGCGCATGGATCTGCCTCTTTTCCAGACTGCGTCGCGGCGGGACCGCACTTCAAGGGCGCCGCGACGGCCGCATAAAAAAGCGAATATATACGGCAAAGCTAGTAGAACCTGCCGCTGCCAGACGCACTTCTGAGGAGCACCCGCGGCAGCGCCTTCCTGTCGAACGCACGGCAGCCCATAATCTGCGGAGAACCGGCCGCCACGCCGGCTGAAGCGTCGCGAAGTGGTTCGCGAGGCCGACGTAAGAACGGAGGCCTGCCACAGGGATCACGTCGATGCTGAAGTACTCCCAAGTGGCGCTGCGCAGCTCGTCGAGCTTCTCCTCAGGTGCGGCGGCGGCCGCGTCGTCGGGCCTCGCGCGCAGCTGGCGCCCGATCCACGCCACCGCGGGGCTGCGGCGGACCTCGTGGAACGCCAGCGGGAGGCCGAGAATGGCCCACGCCACGACGACAATGCAACGGATGCGCCTGCGCTGAGCAGGCGTGCCTCGCATGGCCACGCACGGGTCGTCGACGCGCAGCTGCATGCGGGCCTTGTCCGGGCGGAAGAGGCTCTGGCTGCACCTGATAACGAGGGCAGAGATGGCGGCCCGTGCGAGCGGCCCGTTGCGGGGGCCCTGGACCGCGCGGACGTAGACTAAGGAAACGGCCCCTGCACACGCCGACGAAGTTGGCGCGCTCTTGCAAGGCGAGCGGCACATGCCAGATGGCGTCGACGAAATCCAGGATGAGCCATTCGAAAGGAGCTCGCCGTCCTGGACCGCGAGGGCGCCCCTGGCCAGGAGCAAGGCGCCCTGCGCCACGTCGCCGACGCGGGGCAGCGCCACCCTGCGAGCCTGCCGCGCGCGCCTGCTCACTCCAGATTGCTTCAAGTCGAGGATTATGCGCCGCATGGCGCGGCCGCCCTCGACGCGGACCCCGACCGCGAAGCGCGACAACACCGGGTCGCAGCCCAGGTGCGCGAGCTGGTCGAAGGACCAGTAGTTCGCGAAAGCCTCGGGGTCGGGGTCGCACTCGTCCTCGACGTCGCCCGCGCTCTCGGTGGATGGCGGGAAGACACGGTCGGCCTCGGCGGGGTCGAGTGCCAAGCCAACCGGGGCCCCCTCGCGCAGCCATCCGCACGCGGGCGCCCCAGGGTCGCCAGCCGCGTGGGCCCACCTCCGCAGGAGCCGGGCGCGAATGCAGGCGCCGCGCGTGTTATTGTGGACCTCTTCGGAGTCCTCGGCGCGCGGGCCGCCCGCCCGAGGTCTCGGCGCGGGCCGCCGAGGCGCCCCTCGAACTGCACGGCGGCGCGTCTGCGCCGCGCCTCGCCCCGCCTCGCACTCGCCAGCAAGGCGTCGGTGAGGCTCTCAAGCTTAGGCTCGTTGTCGAGAAGGCGGTCGACCAAAAAGTTCGATGGGGCGCGCCAGGGCGGGCGCGGATCTGCCCGGCGGCGTCGGAGGCGCCCCGCAAGCCGGCTGCCGAGGGCCCGTCCTCGATCTCTTTGCCCTTCTGTCCCTGCGAGTAGCCTGGGCGGCGCCTCGCAGGGGCTGCGCGACGGCCATTGGCTTCGCCATGGCCTTGCCCCGAGCAGCAAAGGGCGGGCAAGAGAACATGCGCGCGCCGGGGGGCGCGTCGAGCTCCGCGACCTCTGGGGGGGCGAGGAAGACGGACGGCTGCCTCGACTGCGGGGGCCGCGCCGGGGGGCACCACGGCTTGCCCCGGGCACGGAACTCCTTCGCCGCTGCGGCGCAGTGGATCGCGAGCAGGGCGCCCATTCTCACCCTGTCCTTGCCCCCGGGGCGAAGCCTCAGAAGGCCGCGCATGTCTGGCACGGCCAGCCCTCGGAGAGCCCGCGGGCGCTCGCCCGGGAGGGGGCCCTGCAGCGCGAAGGCGGAATGCGGAGGGTACATGACAGCGCCGCCGTAGCTGCCGCGGCGGACGCGGCCCATCGCGCCCTCGCAGGTCATGTCCTCAGCGAGGTTATGTGCGTCGGGCTCGTTGACGACGTCCACATGCAGACGTTGCCGCCGATGGCGCTCGCGAGCGCGCCCATCCCACCTGGGCGCCTGGCCGGGCCGCCGCGCAGGTGCAAGAATGCTTTCCCGTTTCACGCGCGCCGCGCAGAGCCGCGCAGCGGCGCGCCCCATCGCGCGCGCGGCGGCTGCTGCTGCGAGCCGCGCGCGCCGCGCACGCCTGGGCTGCCCGCCGACGGCTCCGGGCAGACTGCGGGGCAAGGGGCGGCCGATGGCTCGGGCCTGTCCGCCGTCGCGGCCAAGCCGCTCCTGCCCCCGCTGGGATCGGCAAGCGATCGCGCGCGGTCGCGGCCGCCGCCGCCGGCCTTCTGGCTACCCTTGCCTCGGCCGCCTGCGCCGCGCCCGCCGCCGCCGCGGCCTGCGCGAGCCGCGAAGGGGGCCGGGCTCTGGCTGCATCCGTCCCGCGGCGCGGGCCCAGGCACTTGTTGCGCGCCAGCGAACCCTGGTAAGACGAGCACTCGCCCATCTGGAACGCATCGCGCAGACGATGGTTCGAGCGATTGTGCGCGTGGGTCGAGCCGTCCACTGACACCGAGTGGGCGCTCTCGTCGCGGCGTGGCCATACCCGCCGCTTCGGCGCAGGCTCAGCGCCGCGCCTGTCCAGCGCGGCCGCGGCGCGCGCGGGCGGCGGCGGGGCCCGCGGGGCGCCGCTCGCGGCCGAGCCCACCGGGGCGCCTCCGCCCATGGCGCTGGCCACGCCGCGGAGGAGGGGCGCGGCCGGCCTCTCGAACTCCTCGAGCCAGAACTCGACGTCGGAGATGGCAGCATTGCACACTGCGGTCCACAGCCGCTCAGGGCCCCAGAAAGGGACACCCTTCTAGCTGCCCCAGTCCTCTTGCAGCTTGCGGCGCAGAACCTCAATGTGTTCCAGCCGACGCCGCACGTCGGCCTGGTAGAGACGCGCCCAGGCCTCTTGGCCCGACTGCTCTGCGTACTTATTGATCTTTTTCCGGCACCACCAGAGGGCGCCAGGCTCCGCAGCGCCGAAGCCCACGAAGGCGGCCACGGCAAACTCGAAGGACTCCTCCCGTGTGGCCGTAGGTGGGTGGCCCCAGGAGCTGGGCGTTGCGGTCGCCGCCGCCCCTGGTGAGGATGGTGCCGCTGAACGTGAGCTTTTTCACGAGTCAGTGGTGGTGATGGCCCCACACCCCGAAATCGAGGTACGGGGCACCGCCAGCGGACAAAACATCCTTGAACCCAGCGAGCTGCTCGCGCGAGGGCCCACCGCCGCGCGGCGGCCGCTCGCCGAAGTTGGCATTGCACCGCTCGAAAAAGGCCTTCTCCTCGCCTGGAAACAGGTAGAACGCTTTCCTGGTCGAGGTTTGGTTCGTCACCGTAGGCAACTCCAGCCTGGCTGCCGGCGGGGCTGCGGCCGCCGTCGCTGCCGCGACCGCTGCTGTCACAGCCTGTGCGATGGCCCCGATGTCAGGCGCCGCGGCAGCAGGTGCCGCCGCCGCCGTCGGCTGTGCGACGCCACACGCAATCTGGGCTGCGCGGTGGGCGATGCGGAGAGTGTTCGACTGCAAGGCCCTCAGGGGGACCGGCTCTCCTGCTGCACCTTCCCCCTGTCGGGGCCAGCTGCCACATGCGGATGCGGGCAATGACCCTCTCAAGCTCTTCGGTGGGGAGCCGTCCTAGAAGACCGGCCGCCCCTCCCTCAGCACCACCGATGGCGGAGTAGAAGAGCTCCTCGATGAAGGGGTCGACGTCCGCGAACTCGAGGCAGCTGCCGATCGTGTTCATGCGTGCGGCCTGTTCCGGAGACGGTTCCATGGCGCCGCAATGACGGCGAAAACGCGCGGCAGCGCGGGTGGATCACCCGAAACGTGGCAGAGCGACTCAATAGCGTAAAGGTCGAGCGAGTCTTTGCAGGAAGACTTCGCGGAACGAGCTCAGACAACTGCACATCGCGACTCGATCAGCTCCAGTGATCTTAGCGATGACCGCGCCACCTAAGCATGACAGCCCAAGACGGTACCCTTGGCCACGGATCGGACAGGTCTCTTGTGCAATCGCATCAGTGGAATCAGACCTGCACATTGAGGGGGCGAGAAGGAGGATGACGACAGGGACGCGAGGAGCAGGAGGAGCAGCAGAAGCGAGAGGACAAGGAGGCGGAGGAGTGAAACAACGATGACCACGACGACTTGAACAATGATGGTGATGGTGACGATGCTGATGATGAGAATGGTGATGATGGTGATGATGGTGATGATGATGATAATAATAATAATGATGATGATGATGATGATGTCATGATAGTGGTGATGGTGGCGATGGTGATGGTGATGGTGACGAGGAGGAGAAGCAGCAGGAGCAGGAGGAAGGGCGACTGGCGGTGGCCCGCCTCGGCCCCGAGGTTCTGCGAGCCAGACACCATCTTCTCCAGCTCGGCGACCTCTGGGGAAACCAAAAGGCACCGATACCGCTACTCCTCGGACCTCTCCAGGGGTGCGTTCTGACCAGGATCTCGAGGCGACTCCTGCGGTGGCGACGAGGGCCTCCCAGGAGGCCCAAAAAGGGGGAATTCGAGGCAAGGGTAGCGGTATGGTACAATGCTGGCGCAGCCGCAAGAAAACCTCGCAAGAAGCTCAGCCCTGAAGACCCGCGCGAGAGGTGCGACTGGGGAGAACCCGAGGGCACCCTGAACGCATCAGATTTTTCAACGGCCGCGGGAAGTCCCCGCGCATCGCGAAGAGCGATGAAACCCAGGGTACCCTGACGAGAAGCAGATGGTTCCTTGATGGGCGCCCCCACTGTGCCGCTTCCTTCTCCGAACCTCGTCCGGCGATATCTTGCCCAGCAGGGCGGGCCCCAGCCAGGAGAGCAGGGCGCTGGCGCCCAGGCCGCCTCCGCCCCCGTCGCCATCTCCGCCTGGCGGCGGGGCGGCGCGGCCCGGCCCCGCCCGAGGGCGCCAGGCACGATGGGCCGGGTGGGGGCGCGAGTCACGGCACAGCGCGACGAGCCAGACGACAGCTCCTCCTCCCTCCTCGTCCTCCTCGTCCTCCTCCTCCTCCTCCTCCTCCTCCACCTCCTGCTCCTGCTCTTGCTCCTGCTCCTCCTCCTCCTCCTTCTCCTCCTCCGCCGCCTCCGCCTCCGCCTCCTCCTCCTCCGCCTCCTCCTCCTCCTCCTCCTCCGCCTCCGCCTCCGCCTCCTCCTCCTCCTCCTCCTCCTCCTCCTCCTCCTCCTCCTCCTCATCATCATCATCATCATCATCATCATCATCATCATCATCATCATCATCATCATCATCATCATCCTCCTCATCCTCCTCCTTCTACCACTTCTCCCCAGAGATCCGACGCTCCGACAAAATTGGAGCGGCAGGCTTTTGGCCGTGTTCGGCCCCAGGGGCCCTTGCTGGGCCTCGGGGCCGTCAAAAAAGACTCAGGGCGAAAAACTGGCCCTGGGGAAGTGGTCCAAACCTCCAGACACCACGTATCGGAACATCTGAAGCAACCCGATGTCTGGGTTGTCATCATAATACTCATCATCATCATCATCATCATCATCATCATCATCATCATCATCATCATCATCATCATCATCATCATCATCATCATCATCATCGTCATCATGATCATCATCATCGTCATCATGATCATCATCATCATCATCATCATCATCATCATCATCAACATCAACATCAACATCATCATCATCATCATCATCATCATCATCATCATCATCATCAGCATCAGCATCAGCATCATCATCATATTCAGCAGCAGCACCATCATCATCATCATCACCATCAGCAGCATCATCACCAGCAGCAGCAGCATCAGCATAATCATAATCATCATCATCATCATCAGCATCATCATCATCATGCTCATTACCATCAGCATCAGCATCAGCATCAGAACCAGCATCATCAGCATCAGCATCAGCATCATCATCAGCATCAGCATCAGCATCATCACCATTACCATCACAAACACCATCATCAGCATAAGCATCAGCATCATCGGCATCCTAATCATCAGCATCAAAAACAGCAACCGCATCAGCATCATCATCATCAGCATCGTCATCATCGATCAGCAACATCATCAGCATCCTCCTCCTCCTCCGCATCGTCATCATCATCACCATCACCATCCACATCATCATCAGCATCATCATCATCATCACCATCATCACCATTATCATGCTCATCCTCATCATCACCATCATCATCGGCATGATCATCATCATCATCAGCATCCTCTGTTTGATTACCACCACCATCACCATCACCAGCACCAGCACCATCGTAATCACCATCAGTATCGTCATAAGCAACATCAGCATCGTCATCATCAGCAAAGTCCTCATCATCGTCGTCACAAGCATCATCAGCGTCATCATCATCATCATCAGCATCATCATCATCATCATCATCAGCATCATTATCATCATCATCGGAACCATCATCATCATCATCATCATCATCACCATCATCACCATCATCATCACCATCACCGCCACCATCGGCATCATCATCACCATCACCGCCGTCGTCGTCATCAGCATCATCATCACCACCACCACCATCATCATCATCATCACCATCGACGTCAGCATCACCACCACCATCACCACCAGCAGCACCACGAACATCACCACCATCACCATCATCACCACCACAACTACCATCATCATCATAACCAGCATCATAATCGTCACCATCAGCATCCTCATCATCATGACCATCGTCATCATCATCCTCATAATCAAAATTATCAGAATCAGCATCGCCAGCATCACCATGATCACCCGTATCACCAGCATCATCATCATCATCATCATCATCATCATCATCATCATCATCATCATCTTCATCATCAGCATCAGCATCAGCATCAGCATCAGCATCAGCATCATCAGCACTATCATCATCGTCCCCGCACCTTCCTGCTTCCCCCCTCCTTTCCCTTCTCCCTCCCTCCTCCCCTCCCTGGTCGCCCATCCCCTCCCTCGACCTCATCATCAGGGTCCTCTACCTACTCATCCTGCTCCTTCTTCGTCTCATCCTCCTCTCGATCCACGTTCGATGCTGCCCTCTCCTTCTGAATATGACTTTCCTCTTCCCCCCACCTACATGCATTTCTGACATCTGTGTACATCTATATCTATATATGCATGTGCATAGAACTATCACGACGTTCTACCGATCCTCTCTCATCACTCGTACCGGTCCTTTCCTCGCTGCTCCCCCCTCCTCATTCCCATCCATCCCAGAGCCCCTGAAGCGACCAGCCCTCTGGGATCTATTAGAGGGGGCCGGGGGGTCTGCACTGACGGGGACCCCAGAAAGTCGGTCAGGAGGCGGGGACGAGACCAACTTCGCTCAAAATCAATCCCCGGACCCCTCCCGGGGTCCATCTGGTGTAGTTTTTCACAACCTTTTCGTTTTTCGCAATCCCTGGGCTTGTAAACAGCCCCTGGAGGCCGAAAAAGACAAAAACCCCTTCCGAACCGAGAACATCTGAGCTGCCCGCCCTTCCTGCTGGCCGGAACCAGTGCTGAGCCACCTCAGGCTCGCAGACAGCTCCAAATCCCACCAACACCGTTTCCCACTTCCGCTTGAAAGCCACATCTATCTGCAGCGGGACCTTTGCGCCCATGCGGCGCGCAGGGCTCGTTCAGACACGCTGCTCTCTGATCACGCCGATCTCTGACACGGACTACCTACCAGGCCATCCCAACCCAATACGAACACCAAAATTTCGGGTTGGGGGGGGAGGTACGGGCTTCATACTTGTTTTCAAAGCTCCCCCACCCCACCCCAACTGGGAATGGCGGGCAAATTGGGGCCTTCGGGTTGGGTTCGGGTGATTTGGTGGGTGGCGAGACACAAGATCACTCGTTGCTTGCACAGCAGTCCCTCTGCCCAGAAACCGACCAGCTTCCAGCAGCGGCGGCGCTCCCAGGGGGGGGAGGCAGAAGGGGCGGGCCTTCTCAGAAGGCATGCGGCCATATGCGAAGCTCCCTGAGCCTTCCCGAGGCCGTTCAGAGCTTCACAGAAAGCGGGCGGGCCTCTGAGAAGCCCCGTCGTCTGCTGAGAAGGCCTGTCGCTTTTTCCCTCGGAGCGCCGCCGAAACAAAAACAATGCTCTATTGGGGGCATTGCGGAAACCACAAAATACCGATGCCGCTGCTCCCCGGATCTCTCGGGGTCCGTTCAGATCAGAATTCCGAGACGAACTCAGCCGTGGCGACGAAGACCTCCCAGGAAGGTAGCAGTACGGTGCATTTCTTCCCTCTGAATGCCAGCCTTCGCGTGTCGCGTGGGTCTGCACGAACTGCGTGCTGTCGTCCAGCACGCCCCGCTCCACGGCGCGACGCTCAGCGACAACCGCACCCGCTGTCGCCACCTCTCGGGAGGGCCCGCGTCTCGCCAAGCGCCTGTTCTATTCCTCTCTCACACTATGTTTGTCCCTCCCGTCCTCTGGTTGTCTCTCTCTCGCTCTCCCTCTCTTTGTATCTCTCTCTCTCTCATTCTTATAGGTGTTGTATCTCTATATTTCTGTCTCTCTGTTTCTCTCTCTCTCTCTCTCTTTCTCTCGTTCGATATCTCTCTCTCTCTCTCGATCTATATTTCTCTCTCCCTGTCTATATTTCTCTCTATATCCCTATCACTCTATTGATGTCGCTCCTTCCCTCTCAGCCGTAGCTCTGCCCCTGTGTATACATATATGTTTATATATGTGTATACAGATGTGCGTGTGCGCGTATTGGAGGTGAGGGGGTGAGATCGAAGTGGAACGGAGAGCCCCCCTACCGGGAAATCGATTTCGGTTTCGTGTTCGTGCGTGCCGTGCGGGCGAGGCGAAGCTGCGTGGGCGGGCGAGAGAAAGTCTCCTGTGGCTGAGGCGCGGCCGGACCAAATGTCTCCCTTCCGGGCGGCCGGGGGCCCGCGGTGTCCCGCCGGTGTCCCGCTGGTGTCCCCTGGCTGACGCGGCCGGACCAAATGATCCCTTCCGGGGCCGGGGCCCGCGGTGTCCCGCCATTATGGTGATGATATTGATGATGATGATGATGATGATGATGATGATGATGGTGGTGATGATGATGACGATGTTGATGTTTTGTTTTGATGATCGATAGTGAGTTCGGTAGTGATATCGATTGTGAGATCGAACGTGAGATCGAATGTCAGATCGCTTGTGAGATCGAGTGTGAGATCGATTGTGATACCGAATGTGAGATCGATAATGAAATCGATAGTGAGATCGACTGTGAGACCGAATGGGATATCGATTGTGAGATCGATTGTGATATCGATTGTGAGATCAATAGCGAGACCGAATGTGAGATCGATTGTGGAATCTATTGTGAGATCGATAGTCATATCGATTGTGAAATCGATCGATTGAGTTAGTAGTGAGATCACTATCGGTAATGAGATCGGTAGTGATGTCGATAGTGAGATCGATGATGAGACCGAATGTGAGATCGATTGTGAGTTCGGTTGTGATATCGATAGTGAGATCGATAGTGAGATCGATAGTGAGATCGATCATGAGATCGAAAGTGAGTTCGATAGAGAGATCGATAGTGAGCTTGATTTTGAGATCGATAGTCAGATGGAATGCGAGATCGATTGTGATATCGATTGTGAGATCAATAGCGAGACCGAATGTGAGATCGATTGTGGGATCGATTGTGAGATTGACTGTGAGATCGGTAGTCAGATCGATTGTGAGATCTATCGATTGAGATTGATTGCGAGATCGGTAGTGAGTTCGATAGTGAGATCAATCGAGTGCGACGTTGGTCCCTCCCCCCCCCTCACCTCCTTATCACCCGAAGGGTGGTTTATGCGGTATATGTGTATGAATGGATGCCTGCATATATGTGCACATGCCCATGCTTAGGCTTTTGCATGTGTAAATAAAAATGTCGGTGTATATGTGTACTTTGGAATATATATATATATATATATATATATATATATATGTCGGAGGTTGGGGGGTGAGATCGAAGTGGAACGGAGAGCCCCCCTACCGGGAAATCGATTTCGGTTTCGTGTTCGTGCGTGCCGTGCGGGCGAGGCGAAGCTGCGTGGGCGGGCGAGAGAAAGTCTCCTGTGGCTGAGGCGCGAAAAGGCTGAGGCGCGGCCAGACCAAATGTTTCTCATCCGGGGCGCGGGGCCCCGCGGTGTCCCGCCGGTGTCCCGCGGTGTCCCGCGGTGTCCCGCGGTGTCCCGCGGTGTCCCGCGGTGTCCCGCCGGTGTCCCGCGGTGTCCCGCGAGGATGATGATGATGATGATGATGATGATGATGATGATGATGATGATGATGATGATGAAATGATGATGATGGTGTCCCGATGAAGATGATGACGATGAGGATGGTGTCGATGATGATGATAGTGTCCCGATGGTGAGGATAATGATGCTCATGATGATTGTGTTGATGATGATGACGATGATGGTGTCCCGATAATGATGATGATGATGATGATGATGATGATGATGATGATGATGATGATGACTCCGATGATGTTGGTGATGATGATGTTGATGGAAATGGTGTCCCGGCGATAATGATGTTGATGATGATGTTGATGATGATTATGGTGTCCCGGTGATGATGCTGATGATGATGATGGTGATGATGATGATGATGGTGATGCAGATGGTGTCCCGATGATGATAATAATGATAATGACGATGTTGATGATGATGTTGCTCATGATGATGATGGTGCCCCAATGATGATGATGATGATGATAATAATGATGTTGCTCATGATGATGTCGATGATGATGAAGATGATGTGATGATCATGATGATGATGGTGTCCCGAGGATGATGACGATGTTGATAATAATGCTGATGATGAGAACGATGGTGATCATCATGGTGTCCCGACTATGATGATGATTCTGATGATGCTGCTGATGATAATGACGATGACTGTGTCCCAATGATGATGATGATGTTGATGATGAGATGATGGTGGTAATGATTTTTTTTTGCGCGCTCGCGCAGACCGGTCTGGAGATAAGTGAGCCTCAGGCGCCGACTGGAGCCCAGCCATCAAAATGTGCTTTCGTCTGTTTGCAGACGTGATCGCGGGCGAACTGCACGCGTGAGCAAAGTGTGCGCTTGCAAGGTTAATTGGATCAAGCAACGCGCAAATGTCTTTGGCGCATGCGAATGCCATGTCTGAAGAATTGCCTGCTATCGTGCTTCTATGCGTCAAAAAAGGCGCAAAGACCAGCTGACCACCAAATAAATGCGCGCAAACTCTACATATAAATGGCCCGCACCGATGGCAGTACTAGTGCTGCGACATGGGGCACGTCAACGGCGGCATGCGTCCTCGAAACATAACGGCCCATGTGCTGCTGATCTAAATCGTTGCGATCTCAAAGTGGTACCAGCGCATACCCGAACTGGGTGAAATCAACACGTTCGGTCGGGGGGAAAGCAAGTAACGTCCCGCTGTCGTCGTCATCCAAGGCTTTGCCTGATGCAATGTTGACTGCTCGCACGTACTTAAAATGCAGATATGTTATCATTCATCTAAGAAGACCCTGCACCAGCTTGCTTCGAAGCTCAGCTGGAGAACGCTGCGGTCCGTGACGCCGTTCGTGTTGCGAGGTCCGACTGCATGTGAATTCATGCAGGCACCTTGGGCACCTCCCTTCGGGTTGTGTCGCCCAGGTGCTCTGTCCGGACACAAAACGGAAGCAAGGAGAAAGGGGGGGAGCGAGGGGAGGGGAGCCTTGCCTCCTCTAGCGTCCGGCGGCCTGCCAGGAGAAGGATCGACATAACTCCGGAGGCTTGGCCTGCTCCACGGCTCAAACCCGACGATGGGTCTCACCGCCGGCAGGCGCGGTCGACAAAAGAGAGCGGTCTCGCCCACCGAGCGCAACGAGCCCCCGCCACTCCCTCCTCCCCGCTCCTCCTCTGCATTTATTACATCACGCCCTCAGGGCGCCTCCGCCGTCCGCGGACCTCCCCCCCGCGAAGAGCTACGGCATGACGGAAAAGATCGCCGTTGTCCTTGGTTGGCAGAAGGGGCAGGAGGAGGAAGCGCAGAAAGGAGAGGAGGAGACGTGCAGGGAGGAGAGAGGGAGAGGAGGAAGAAAGGAAGCATTTTCACATATGTGCACTGTTCTAAAGTTGCAGCGTACATCATTCAAGCTTGTGCGCCAAGCCAGCATTGCAGCCTCACGCGCATTGGCGAGAACGGCACACATACTGGGGCGTCGAACAGATCCCTCGCTGAATACTCGAACGCCAACAGCGAAACAATTCATAGCCAAAACAACACTCTGCATACGTCAAGGCCAAGCATGGACTGCTACCCCGCACACGTACCGCAACTGGTGCATGACATCGTATTGCTCCCATGCACTATGCCGATCGTGGTGCCACCCCACTTCTGGTTTGTACGTGTGTAATTCGATGTAAAGCTCATCAACCAGCCGAAGGTCGTGATTCACTAAAGTTGCAAGCCAACCCCACTCCATGGTTGCACCAAGACTAGCGCCTGCATGCTCATCGTCAACGTCGAACACGACAACAACGAAATTATCTGGCGAACGCATCACATGACGCGACCTTCACGAAACCTTGAACCCACTCCACATTACCGCTCGCATTATAATGCGATGGCACATTCATGCCCTGCGAGTCAGGCTCGAAGAGTACCACTCGATCGAACTCAAAGTATGGGCGGTACATGTCCATGAGAACTTTGGGTGCACGGAAGAAGCCATTAGCACCAGCAACTATCAATATTTTCCGCTCGTTGGCGATCGCATTCATATCAAATCCAGCGAGGGAAAGTAATGGACGATAAGCAGTAAAACCCCTAGAAAGTGCAAACTCGTGATGCCATAGATTTCGCCCGCCTGGAAAAAGATCCTCCAATTCTGACGCCAAGGCGTGATATTGAGCCAGTCCTCCTCGGCAAAGCGTGTTGCTTGGCTTCGGAAACATGTAACAATATTCCTGCCCCTTTCTTTTCGGCTGCGTAAGCAAGTGAGGCCTTGGTGCCAGGCGATTATTGCCATAATAGACTTCCATCCAATAGTGGTGCTGTCGTGCAATGTCGAACATGCTCGGCACGTCGGGATACTCCTTTGTGAGACCACTCCGCATTTTCCATGCAATAGACGCTGCGGCCAAGCGGTTACACGCTTCTGTCACATGTTCCACGTCTCTGTCACATGTGGCCCCAAGGCCGTTCCCACAACGCGCATACTCGTACACATCTCGCACTCTCGACGATGGTTGGTTCTCTGTCTCAATCCACGGTTTGTCGATGGGCCATTTCACCAATTCCTTAAGCCACCCTTCGAGCCGACAATTCTTGCTCAGCCCCTCATTCAACATCTGCGCGCTCAGCTGAAACTC